GCTGCGTCCCTTAGTTGCTCGCGACTGCGGCAGGGCCCGTCTGTCCGTCAGCTGCTTGTGATGTAGCTCCACCCGTCGCGTCCCTTGGTTGCCCGCGATGTAGCAGCGCCCGTCGCATCCCTTAGCTGCTCGCGACGTAGCAGCGCCCATCCTGCGCTCCTTAGGGACAGGCGCTAATAGACAAAACAAGACATGTTTCCACGGCAGAGGACGAACTGGTCATGAAATAAAATCAAAACCTATTATTGTAAGCACTACAATACCTTGAGATGCGTATACGATGAATAGGAAGTACTTTTTGCTGACATTAATCAAACTCTGCGATGAGGACAGATGAAATGGAAAGAGGGTAGGGTAGGAATAATCTTAAGAAAATAACTGAAGGTAGCTAAGGGTAGAGGGGAAGACTAGTGAAATATCTAAGATTCAACATTGGAGCAGGTAGAACTGAAACTGAAATGCTGGGAAGTGATAGGATATATGCTCTGCAGGTGAGGTTAGTGGACACCACTGTAGGGACAATGGAAATTGAAACCCTAGCCAGTTTTGCTTTCGTCATAAAATCATCACCCTGAGATTCCAACTCCCATTCGTAATGCCTTAAGTTTAGCTTAGTGGTGCCAATGTTTGCTTGTCAATCCAGAGGTAAAGGAATCGAATCTTGCCAAAGCCGTTGTAAATCCTACGTGTTGTTTCCTACTGCTGTTGTTGTTTTCCTGCTACTTTGTGCTCGTAATAATGCATCCAGCGAGTCCGGCGACCTTCCGCGAACCTTAGATTCAGGAGTCATTTTGTTTTTCATAGTGAATAACTGCCAGCAACAGGTATCGAACCTGCATCCCCGAAGCTCCATACGCACGTAGTCAGGACATTTTCGGGTCAGGTACGGGTGAGGTCACTTTTGGGTCAAAAAACTCGATGACCCCAAACTATCCCCCACCTAACCACTGACCCTAAAGTGGCCCAAAAGTCACTTTCGGGTCAAGTTTGGGCCAGGCTGGGGTCAATCCGGTTTCCGGGTCAGGTTTGGGTCAGGAACATGTACCTGCCAAAAGTGCACTGCCGATCTAACACTGAGGAAGGATGTCCGAAATCCGCGGCGATGAGTCGGAGCAGTACAATGGCAGCAGCAACTTGAAGGATATGACGCCTTTTCTTGTAATTTCCTGTTGAGATGCAATCTTCTACCTCCTCCCCCTCGCGACGGGGCTTTCGCTGCTGCTCCTTGCCTCTACCGTGCGAAACGGTACAACACGCACGGTAGTCTCGTCGCCAATCGACTCGGTTCGCAGGCTCCTTGGTGCGACCGACTTGCGACAGCTCTTGACAGCGCCCTACGACTACCACGACAACTTAGCAGCTGCTCTATCGATGCCAGCGCAAGGCAGACCCTCCGTGTTAAATCCAAACGACGAGAGCAATCGAGCCACCGGCGGAGACGAAGCCGCGTTGTGCGCGAAGATGGTACTGCGAATGATGCCTGAGATATCTCGGTCTGGGCAATACTCAGAGTCAGTCAATCTCGGCGACTCGGCGGCGGAGAATAGCATGAGCGGCGCAGGTCTGAACTCAGAAATCCTTGATGTCGCTAGTAGTAGCAGTTCCGAGAAAGCAATTCCCATGGTTTCTAGCGAGCCTGACGGCAACGCCATGAAAGTTGTCCTGGACCAGCGGCCTGATGGTCCCGCTACGACTGCTAGTAGTACCGCAACTAATGCTTTTACTATTAACGTTACTACCACCAGTAACAATGGCATCCCCGGAAGCAGTGGCAGGGAGTGCAGGCGGCGGTCACGAACAGGTCATTGCGTGCGAAGCTCTTCAGTCTCTACGTCGATGCGTACGTGCAGGGAATTGTCAGAGGTCCACTGGTGATCCCCGATTGATCCTAGGGATGGGTTACAGGCACGTTGGCCTGGGGGGTTATGGGCGCACTCACCCGCTATACAAACAAGCCCTTTTATCCCAATCGTCTAGTGGTTAGGATTTTGACATGCATGCACCTTGCCGCTCTCTTCTTTCCTTCTTTTCATTGCTGCGTTGTTGTGATGTGCTCTTTTCCTCGTTTTTACTCAAGATTCTCTGCGTCTCAGATGACCTTTCTGCTGCTTTTTGTTGGCATATCGCTATGGCCTGGTTGTGTGGACCTCCTAATCCGTAGCCACGTGTCAAACAAACTTCTTCCTGCTTGAGCAGCATTGAGCAGATGTGGCTACGTAGCATCGGTGACGTCATCCTCATCCTAGACGGTGATGAGCAAGAGGCTGAGGACCTCATTCCCACGTGGATCAAAGTCTACTACGAGGATAACGGGTTGAAGCTTCCAGGATAGATCTTGCAGCAATGGAGCTACCTTTGGGCTGACAATTACACGACCGCCCCTTACGTGGCCATAATCGATGATGACGTCATATTGAACTTGAAAGTAACGCCTGGGTTACTGATCAACCTGACAGACGGCAAGCCGTACGTGATTGGCAGCGTGCGGCGTCAGGATGGCCACTGGTTACCCTCCACCAAGTTTTTCGTTGGGGAAGATAAGAACTTCGCCAATTTCATGGTGCAGCTGCCATTTCTGATGCCGACGAGCATCCTGCCACGATTCATGGGCCACGTGGCAAATCTGCACAAGGATAAGGGCGGCAGCTTCGACTTGGCTTTCAAGTGGTTCTCCGAGCATGGACCAAAGTTTTAACGGACCCGAATTGCCCACACGACCATTGGAAACTACATGTGGGCGTATGCTCATGATGAGGTGCACTGGACCTTGAAATGGACCAATCACACGCCAATCCCCCGCGTTGGCGTGCACCTTCCCTACACGCAGCCCTTCCGTGTTGCCACGAAGCACAGCGGCAGCGCGCCACGTGTCATCAAGACGTACATCCAGGGGGCGGCTCATTTCTCGCACGAGGGTGTGTGCCATGCGCTGCCTGCTGGGGAGCTCCCTGGGTATGATGATGTGAACCCCTTTTCTCAGCGGCAGATATGGCAGTATGCCATGGGTTGGTATGATTGGCCTGCTATTAAGAGGAAGAAGGCAAATGCTACTATAGTGTATGATCAGTACCAGAGTGAGCTGGAGTGCATGTACTGGAAGGTAGCTTAGGCAGGTGGTGGAGAGGAGCCCAGTGTGGTGGGGACAATCGTGCAGCTGAGAAGGGCAGATCCTGCAGGGAGTAGAAGGGAGCTCTTGACATCTCTTCAGAAGTGCATAATCTCAAGGTCATAATCCAAGCAGCTGAGCCTGGTTTAGGTTTCTTAGTACCATAGTCGAGGTCCTGTGCAGTTATGTATGTCAAACTCATATGCTATAGTCTGTGTAGGCTGTAGTGGGGTAGACAATATGGGGTACAACACTTCTAGGTTTTCCTACTTGTACCCACCTGTTTGCTAGTTCATTCATTCCTCATTTCTTCACAATGTACCGTGTTATAAACTGTAATCCCCCGGATACAGCACCCTAGGGTCTTTTGATAAATGCAAAAAGGGGTGTGTGTGTGTCTGAACAACGGGAAGGAATTAATTTTTGAATGAAGACATTTCTGGTTATTTTAAATATGTGATATTTTGAATAAATACACGTCTGGTGTTTCTCAAGACGTTATTTATCATCGCACCTTTAGGTGTTTCTCAAGGATTGAAATTAGACATTAAACAAAAGAAGTGTTTGCTAAGGCTTGGTGACATGGAATTTCAGTGAATGATCCATTAATTTGTCTATATAAATTGGCTTATTTTGACATATCGTAGATCAATCTACACGTGGAAATGGAGGCCAAATCTGGCCTCAATTCACTTTTGTGCGAGAACATTCAACACGCCCGAAGCGCGCCCGATGTTCCATTCCAAGCGAATTCGCTGGTGGATGTGGCTGACAAAATCGCGCGCGTGGGCTATTTTCGTGTTTGTCTAAAAACAGTCAACATTGCCTCGCGTGCCCGGTGTTCCATTCCAAGCAAATTCACTGGTGGAGAGTACATCTGCACGGCACGGGTTGGGTCCAGACCGCAAGCCTGCACATAGGAGGCTTTTCTATCATAATAGAATGTTTATTGGCAAGGAAGCGTAAAGGCGTGTTTGCCGCCAACTATGGAAATTGTTGGTCCATATATGAGGGAGCAGCACAATTTAATTCAATTTAATTGCTGGTCCTTTCGATTATTTTCTCACCGGTAACTAAATTTCGCGCTGTGCTTTGTACGTCAGCATGTACACCCTGCCAAAAGTGCACCGTCGTTTTAGTACTTCTGAGGAAGGATGTCCGAAATCGGCGGCGACGAGTCGCGGCAGTACGAGTAGCAGCAGCAATTTGAAGGATACGCCGCCGTGTCTTGTGATTTCCCGTCGAGGGGCCACCTTCTGCCTCCTCGCCATCGCGACGGCGCTTTCGCTGCTGCTCCTCGCCTCCCCCGTGTGAAACGGTACGACAAACACGGTTGTACCATCGCCAGACGACTCGGTTCGCGGGCTCCGTAGTGCGACCGGGTTGCGACAGCTCTTGGCAGCGGCGCCTTACAACAACAACGACGACTTAGCCCGCTGCCCTACCGATGCCGGCGCAAGGCAGAACATCTGCGTTACTGGCAGAGCCTCTGCGTTCAAACGACAAGACCGATCGAGCCGCCGCCGGAGACGAAACTGTGTTACTAAGCGCAAAGACGGTAAGTCGAAGCCGGCGGGGAATGATTCCTGAAACATCCCGGACTTGGCAAGACTCGGACTCGGAGTCACTGGCAGTCAAGCTCGGCAACTCGGTGGCGGAGAAGTCTCGGAGCACGAGCGCAAGTCTGAATTCGGAAATCCGTGACGTCGCTGGCAGTTCCAATAAAATGATTTCCACGGTTTCTAGCGAGCCTGGCGGCAGCGCTGTGAAAGTTGTCCTGCATCAGCGGCCCAATGGTCCCGCTGCTACAACTAGATCTGCAACGATTGCTACTAGTACTATTAACGTTACTACCACCAGTCACAATGGCGCAAGAAGCTGCGGGAGGGAGTGCATGCGACGCTCACGAAACGGTCATTGCGTGGCGGAGCTCTTCAGCCTCTACGACGATGCGTACCGGTACGTGCAGCCCATCATGCACCTCGCCGCTCAGAGTCTCCTTCTCTCTTCTTTCCCTTTCCTTTTCTTTGCAATCTCAGATTTGGCAGGCTATCATCGAGAGGTGCTCGTTTTCCTTGGTTTTGATCAATCTTTTGTGTCACACAGATTGTCTCGCTCATATTTTTTCGCTCAGAGTAACTTCTCCGGCACAGATTATCTCGCTCAGAGTATCTTCTCCGGCACAGATTATCTCGCTGAGAGTATCTTCTCCGTCACAAATGATCTCGCTCAGTGTCAATCCACATGGCCTTTCTGCTGCTTTTTGTTGGCAGATCATTATGCCCTGGTCGCGTGGACCTCGTAATCCGCAGCCACGTGTCAAGCAACTTCTTCCTGCTCGAAATGCTCTTTGTCAGCATCGAGCAGATGTGGCCACGTGGCATTGGTGACGTCATCCTCATCCTCGATGGCGACGAGCGATTGGCCGAGGACCTCATTCCCACGTGGATCAAAGTCTACTACGAGGAGAACCGCTTGAAGCTTCCAGGAAAGATCCTACCTCTGGGCTGAAGCTTCCAGGAAAGCTACCTTTGGGCTGACAACTACACAACAGCCCCTTACGTGGCCTTGATAGATGATGACGTCATCTTCAACATGAAATTAACGCCCGGATTACTGTTCAACCTGACAGACAGCAAGCCGTACGTGATTGGCAGCGCGCGGCGACAGCTGGACCAGTGGTTACCCTCCACCAAGTTTTTCGTTGGCAAGGACAAGTACTTCGCCAATTTCATGGTGCAGTTGCCATTTGTGATGCCAACCAGCGTCCTGACAAACTTCAAGAGCCACGTGGCCAATCTGCACAAGAACAAGGTCGGCAGCTTCGACTCGGCTTTCAAGTGGTTCTCTGAGCATGGACCTCTTTGGCGGACCCAAATCGCCCACACGACTATTGGAAACTACATGTGGGCGTATGCACATGATCAGGTGCACTGGGCCTTGGAATGGACCAATCACACGCCGATCCCTCGAGCCGGCGTGCATCTTCCCTACACGCAGCCTTTCCTCACGAAGCACAAGTTCAACGGGCCACGTGTCATCAAGACATACGTCCAGGGGGCGGCTTATTACGCGCACGAGGGCGTGTGCCATGCGCTGCCTGCTGGAGAGCTCCCTGGGTGTGATGATGTGAACCCTTTCCCTCAGATCCAGATATGGCAGTCTGCCATGGATTGGTTTGACTGGCCTGGTATTAATAAGATGGAGGCTAACGCTACTATAGTGTATGATCATTACCAGAGCGAGCTGGCGTGCATGTACTGGAAGACAGCTCAGGGGGGGGCGGGTGGTGGAGGGGAGCCAAGTGTGTTTGGAACGAATGTGCAGATTAGAGGGGCTGATCCTGCTGGGAGGAGAGAAGAGCTCTTGACATCTCTATAGGAGTGTATCGCCCCAAAGTCATAAAACCAAACAGCAGAGCTTGGTTGGGAAAATTAGTAAACCAATCATGTCATGGTGGAGCTTAACTTACAGCAGATAATGGCTTGCATAATGTGGTTGGAGTTTTGTGCATAGGTCTGTCCATTTGGGAATAATTTGAACCCATTAGAGATTTAGAAACCTAGTGTAAGGAATTTTCTCGGCATTCCTTACGGAGCCCGACTACATCGCCTACAGCAACAGCCGTTGTTTGCCCGTTACTGCTAACGGGGCTTCGCCGACTTCGCGCGCACTGTTTCACCAAACCTCGCACTGCTGGCCTGGCCGTGTCGGCCTACGCCTTGGGACTAGCCCGAGCCTCGCTCCAGCGTAGCACTAGCTAGCTCGCACGCACCGCGTTACCGTTTGCATGTTTCGCATATAAATGTTCGCTCATGCCTTCGCTCACATTTTGTACTCGTTTGACACCTTAGTGCAATCCTCGCTACTTTGATTCATTGCACCCGTAACACTTGGTATTCAGAGCCCCTTTCTTTCGGACCGCGCATCTCCGCACCCCAGGAAATCAACTTTTGATTTTTCACTCGAAGAGACTCACGTACCTTAGCACCTAGGAGCCGCTGTCCTCGCGTTCTCTCGTAAACGCGTGCAGCCACGACTGCGCCTAGACTAAGACGAGCCGACGCCCTTTGAAATGGCTGAACACATCGACGTCAGGACTCTCACACAGGAACACTTGAACGATCTGCTGCGATAAATCCGCGAGAGCGCCGAGGAAATCGCGACGCTGATGGCAGAACGCTCGTCCCTGCAAAACAACCTCACACGAGCACAATCCCAAGCACCTGGCACTCCGATTCAGCCCGCACCACAAACATCACAGCACGGAAGTGTGGGGCAACCCGCGAGCGCCGCAAGTGATGGCGTCGTCCGCCATGACGGAGACGACGACCACGGCACGACACACCCCGACGCGACGAATGTGGCCAGGACTCGGCCTCAAGTCACGATTTCAGTGCCGGCCGGCGGATCAACTCTTCCGTCGCCGATGCCGCTAAAGCCGCAGCGTCCGCCATGCTTTGACCCGAGTCAGCGGGGTGGTCCTACCGTTTAGGCGTGGCTCTTCACGTTGAACGTTTTCTTCAACGCGAACTACGTCTCGGAGGATACGGCGAAGATTCGTTAAGCCGTGTCGTTGCTGCGAGGACCCACCATGGACTGGTGGCGCGTCATCGTCACAAAGCCGGCAGACTACGCAACTCTACCAACAAGGGAAGGACAAACCGGACCCTGGGCGCCGTCGTATTTTGTGGAGGTGCCCCAGTATCGCACGTGGGATGCGTGGTGCGCAGGTCTGCGCGCTCGTTTCGAGCCAATCGCGGCTTCGATCGCGGCGCGACAGAAGCTCCGCACTTGGCACCAACTCGGTTCCATCCAAGATTACACGAGCGATTTCTGGCGCTATGCGAGCAAGTGGGATATATGCACGAGAGCGAGCGCATTGACCGCTACATCGGCGGCCTGAAGTAGGACATCGCTCAGGAAATCCAGCTCCGCGGCGTCACCGACTTTCAAGAAATTCTCGCCATGGCGGAGAAACTTGATTTCTTCCGCCGACCAAGACTGGGGTCCTACGGAAGCAGCCATTCGGGACATCGGCCTTGTGGGACGAACAAGGGCGCCACGATACATGCCGTCGCCGCAAATGCCGTTGCCGCACCGTTCAAAGGGCGCTGCTTTGCGTGCAATCGGCCGGGACATCGCAAGAGCGAATGCCCGGAAAACGCTATGGGAAAGGGGGAAGCTGAGCAGCAGAAACAGACCAAGCAGCAGGGAAACGCTGGGATTCAGTAGCAGACGGGCCCTCTCCTGACAGGTCACGCCGCTCGCCCGACCCAACCGACCCTCACCGAGTGATTGTGCCAGTTCACGCAATCGACCACACTCGGCCGAATAAGGAGGGGACTACGGTAGACAGCTCCATACTGCTTAGTGGGAAAATCGGGACGGACTTAGTAAAAATCTTCGTAGACATGGGAGCCAGCCACAGCCTCATCAACACTGCCACAGCACGAAATCTGCGACTGCCACTGGACAGATGCTTACCTGAGATCGACGCAAGACTGGTAGATGGCACGCCGCTGGCGATACGGGAACGCGTAGACCGGGTTTGGATTCGATGTTGGGGTAACTTCACGTTTAGCCAGGAAATGCTCGCAACGACCCTCGACGGAACCGATGTTTTACTCGGGCGTGATTGGTTGCGACGACACAATCCGCGAATCGACTGGACGACAGGTGACTGCACCGTGCGAGTGAACGGTAACAACATCGCCTTACCTCGCTGGGGCTCACCTGAGTCTTCGTCGGTGCGTGTCAACGCGATCACGATGAAACGCGCCGTAGCGGCAGGAGCTGACGTGTACGCGGTCAACATTCGGGAAGCCAAGGCAACAGACAAAGGAGGGGATTTACAGAAAATGCTGGCCGGCGTACCGAGTGACCTGGCAGCACTGTTGAAGCAGTACAGCGACATTTTTCCGGACGATTTACCGACGGGACTGCCACCTCAGCGACCGCGCGACCACAGGATAGAATTAGAACCGGGGGCACAGCCATCAGTACAGCGACAGTTCCTACTGACCCAGCCCAAACTGGACGAACTGAGGAAGCAGCTCGATTACCTGCTCGAGAAGGAATTCATTCGCTCTAGTTCGTCGCCCTTCGCAGCACCGATACTGTTCACACCGAAAAAAGATGGGGGATTTCGCATGTGCATAGATTACAGAGCACTGAACAGGGTTACCATCAAATCCCGTTACCCTATCCCGCGAGCCGATGAACTGATCGACCAACTGCGCACAGCCCGGGTTTTCTCGAAAATCGACCTCCGAGGGGGTTACCACCAGATTCGCGTCAATCCGCCCGACTGCCCTAAGACCGCATTTCGAACATGCTACAGATCCTTCGAATACACCGTCATGCCCTTCGAAATGACCAACGACCCCGCCACTTTTCAAATGACCATGAACGAAGCTTTCCGCCCGCTCTTAGATAAGTGCGTCATCGCATACGTGGACGACATACTGATCTACAGCCCTGACAGAGCACAGCACTTACAGGACATCGAAGCAGTTTTTAAAATATTGAGTGAGAACCGCCTACTGACAAAAGCGTCTAAGTGTGAGTTTTTACAGGACCGCCTCGAATTTTTGGGACACGTTATTTTAGCTGCAGGAGTGGAAATAGACCCGAAGAAAATCGCAACGATTAAAGCATGGCACGCGCCGACCAACTTGACCGAGTTGCAGAGTTTTTTGGGGTTCGTCAACTACGTGCGCCGGTTCGTCCCCGACATGGCGAAGCTGACTGCCCCGCTGACAGACCTGCTGAGGAAGGGGGTTGAGTACACGTGGGGGGAGAAAGAGCAAGCTGCCTTCTCGGCCCTCAAAAACATTTTGTGCTCACCGCCCGTGCTTCACATTGCAGATCCACACCGTCCGTTCGAGCTCCTCACTGACACAAGTGACATCACTGTGGGAGCAGTACTGTTGCAGGATTTCGGGAACGGCCTCCAGCCAATCGCGTACGAGTCCCGCAAGCTGCACCCGCCCGAACGCAATTACCCGATACACGACCGCGGAATGCTGGCGATCGTGCACGCGTTCAAGGTTTGGCGGTGTTACCTGACTGGCGCCAACGTGACAGTACGGACAGACCACCGATCACTACAGTACTTACACGCCCAACCGAATCTCAATCCACGACAGATTTGCTGGTTGGACTACCTCGAGTCCAACTTCCACTACACGGTTACGTACAAGAAAGGCGCATCCAACATCGCCGACGCACTCACCCGCCCTACCGCCCAACTCCACGCCATCCTACTCGCCCAGACCAACCCACTTTTAACAGGCCTATTTACCCACGGATACCGCACTGACCCATTCTTCACGACCAGAAATTCACAGCAACTGGCAGAAGCTAAAGGAGTTAATTACGTAAAAACAGGCACCAACCGCATCTGGGTACCCGCGTACTCACTACTGAGGGAGCTACTACTGCAAGAGGCACACGACGGAATTACCTCGGGACATTTTGGGGTAGAAAAAACGCGACAGCAACTGCAGCGGTATTACTACTAGCCGGAGCTGTTGACCAACGTGCAGCAGCACGTGGGCTCGTGCCCCACATGTCAGGTGATGAAGAGCTCAAGGAAGCGGAAGGCGGGTCATTTGCAGCCGATAGTGCAGCTCGTAGCACGCCTGGCAGCAAGTTACCATGGATTTCGTCACAGGGTTATCTTCGAGCCCTGGGGGTAACGACGCGGTGATGGTCGTCGTTGACAGGTTGACGAAGATGGCACACTTCGCTGCGTGCAAGAAGTCGATCTTAGCCAAGGAGACCGCTCGTCTGTTCATCGCAGCCGTTGTTCGCCTGCACGGGATACCAGCAGCGATTATCAGCGTCAGGGACACGAAGTTCACCAGCAACTTCAAGAAGAACCTCTGAGAGCAGTTCGGAACTAGGCTGCAGTTCAGTTCCTCGTACCACCCCGAGACCGACGGTCAAACGAAGCGGACAAATCTGACGATGGAGTGAGAAAATGAGCGAGAATGAATTGACTAAGGGAAAGTTGGGTACAAGTACAAACCCTAGAAAGTCGTACCCCATATGTGCTACCCCACTATAGCCTACAACAGCTATGTCATATAAATCTGACACACCCCCATAGGCAAAGTGGGGGAGAACAAGGGGTCACAAGACCAGTCAAGCAAAGCAAAGCAAGCTCAGGGTGGATCACAAAGTCACCACACATTCCGAGCACAAGTTCAAGGCCACAAGGCCAGTTCACATGCAGGATTACATATATATATAAGACTAGACAAGCAAGAGCAGGTGTATATATATATGTAACAGTACAAACAAGGTCAACGGGTGAGCAAGTGAGGCAAGGCTGGCACAAGACCCAGCTAAGTACAGAAGCGCTGATGATCACA